CGAAAGGTTGCCAGTTACGGGAGGCAATCAATCCATGTTTCTCTCTCACATTGATGTTTTTCTCTCTGTCTCCCCCTTCTTTCCTCTCTACAAAAATCAATAAAATCTTTATTTAAAAAAAGATAATACTAAGCAGGTATAAAAGTATAAAAATGTTATAAATTTAAACATTTTCTGCTATTTTATCCCAGTACCGGATGACAAAGCAGCTATTAACTCACTTTTTATATTTCTGTCTCTCCACTTTACTATTAGATAGATAGACCCCCCCCAAAAAAAAAAAAACAATAAAAGATATTGGTGTGACTGTGTTCTGATGCCTCGTATCAGTGTGGCATCAGGCTCCAAAAAGAGCTGAGCTTTGTAGGTTTTCGTCTCTTGCTTTCCTCGCAGAGGCCTACTGCAGTCTTCATTTTGAGGAAAATTACCCTACTTTGTATCTGATTATTCTTGTGAACGGAATTCATTCTTGAATTTTAGTTTAATTACTGTTCAGAATTTTAAATTTCTCATTGGGCAACCACTATAGTTAAAAACAACAATAAATATCCTCTAGCAACAAGCAAAATACCTACCAGTATTTAGCATGACTGCTGCCCTGGCTACATCAAAGGACAAATAATATTTCTCCAACTTTCTGTGTTCTGAGCCAAGACCAAAATGAATATATTTTATAATCAGAGTGTTAAATGAGGCTGTTTAATAAAGCCTCTTACACTTTGAATGTGTATGTTTTATACATTTTAAAAATCAGAGTTTCTTCCTAGAGAAAATTATCTTAAGAAATTGTACATGGCCAATATATCATCCAGTAGCCTGCTGCTGCTCACTCTGACAGCAGGTGCAGGCTAGAAAGAAGAGATGTTTGCTCTCTTCTACCAGGAATCTTTTATGCATGTCTCAATCAGAAAAAAAGGCCAACACAGGTTTTGGAAAACGTTATGGTGTTTTGGGATATTATATACAAGTTTATCAGTCAAAATACAGGGTGTGGCATAAGTAGGTTTATAGTTGTTCCTGTATTAGGAACAATAACTAATAGATAATAATACAAGAAAAAGACTGTTTCATATACAACTGTAAACTTATGTTTGCCCCACGCTGTACGATTATATGCTATGTACTCTAAATACTATTTTCTGTCTCTTAAATTGGAGGTGCAGATATCAGAATTATAGCCAAGATTAAAGCAGATATCTTATAAATATTGTTTTTATTACTTGATTTTGAAAAAGCATAGCAACCATAAGAAACAAAGGAGTTCTGGGCCGTGAATCTCCTTGGGTAACAGAATTGCATAGATTTATGCACACACAGAGAGGAGTGCATATAAAACTTATAAAATTTGATAAGTTCTATGAATTGTACCAGTGTCATTTTCCTGGTTTTGATATTGTACTTTAGTTCTTTAGGATGTTACCACTGGGGAAAACTGGGTGCAGGGTACTTCTCTGTATAATACTTTTGTACCATGAATCTTTAATTACAGTTGATCAAAATATGTGCCCTTGAACAACATGGGTTTGAACTGTGTGGGTCCACTTATAAGTGGTTAGGAATTTTCATACATGGAAGGCCAACTTAAGTTATACCTGGATTTTCGGCTCTGTGAGTGGTCAGTACCTCTAACCCCTGAGATGTTGAAGGGTCAATTGTATTTCACATTAAAACTTTTTAAAAAAGTGCTTGGCCAATGTTTTTTAAATGTGTTTTAAAAAGTATGGCTACCTTATAATTTAAATAAATCATTTTAAGGTGTTTTAAGAAAGGAAATCATCTGAGTGGTACCTAGGAAAATCTTTATCAACCTTGACTTCGACCGCAGGACTCCACCTGTGTCACTGTTAATGGAAAACTAATATAGTAGCATCAGACTGGACAAAGGAGAGCCCATGGTACCTTTACACATTATTGTCACATGCACAACAGTGTCACAGTTACATCTAGGCAGTACTATTACCCCGTCTTATGGAGACTTGGTAGCCTGGGAAAACTAGTGGTGCTAGAAGTGGTTATCTGAACCCATTTCTGATGCATTCAAAAAGGCCCATGCTCTTTCCAGTTTGCCATCTGCCTTCCTTGGAGAGGCGGCCACAAATACAATAGGCACCTTAAAGTAAATACCAACATGACTGGTTAAGAAAAATTCAGTGAAATTACACAAAAATTATATGAAGAATTATCTGAAATTGTTGTTAATTAATAGAATTACATGATTCTGACATAAGAACACAAAAAGTATCTTTATTGGAGTGTTCAGATTATATTAAGTATTGTTTAGCAAGTTTAGAAGTCTAATGAAACCTATATATACCCCATTGGTGAGCCTGAAACTAAAATGTGTATATAAGCCAGTTCATACACTGCCACAACATTGCTAAAATCAGAGGTTATGATAGAGCAGAAATCCAAAACCGGCCCCTCTTGCTTTGGGGGACTTAAAGCAGTTTTAGTGTCTAGCAGTTTAGTGATAAGAGTTAAATTTTTCAGAGGGCATAGATGAGCGGCT